ATTTGGAATCCCGTGCACTGCGTGTGGGTATACTCGTTGCTGATGCCCCGAGGGCGTTGTTTTCGATGAGCATTGCCGTTATACTTCATGCGCATCGCTCTGCAATTCACATTCGACACAGAAAAATGCATCATTAGTGTTTCATCACAGTGAGCATGAAAAACAGCATGAAATATCGAAAAATTCTTCCTGCATAAAGGCCAGCGTTGCCATTTACCATCAGGTTTTTCCGTTCCGTTCAAATGCTAATCACAGGAATTTCACAAGCCAGTTCCAATACTTTCAATACGCGTCTGAAGCTTTAATTGTGCCACGCACATGTCATTATGATAAGCAAGTCACATCAGAAGCCTAATTCCCATCACAAGAGAGCATCGCTGCATGTTTCCTACTTTTTAGGCATTTTATTTAGTTAATTCCAAAAAGGTTTGCGGAGAGCTTGATTTATCCAATTTCCTGAATGTGAGTTTTCCAGGACGGCTGATTTGTCAAAGAGCGGATCGACGGCTGCAGTGGCTGTTTTCGATCAGTCTTCCCTCTTCTGCGCCTGGACAGGCGACTCTCGTGTGGTCCTTGGGAGGGCCGCCAGAGACACCTCCAAGGGCGGCGCAGCCAGGCCTGTGACTATAGAGCTGTCCAGGGATCACAAGCCAGATGACGCGAAGGAAAAGAGACGAATCCTCGCGTGCAACGGACGCGTCGACAGAATGGTGCAGTTTCACCGCCAAAACGGCTATCGCATAATATGCAACCCTTCCTGATTTTGAAATTTTGCCGTTAGGCCTTGCACCACATTCTTTGTTTCAGAGAGTCATTTTTTCCTTGTTGCTGTGCGAAAATAATTCCAAGCGTTACGTTACTATGCTGAAGGGTTTCACAAATACGGTACGTGCAATGAGCATGTTCGCAAGTGGCGGTGTCCGCGTGTGCTTGCAGACATCCCGTGAATGGAACGACTGTAAATTCCCCAAAGTTCCCATGAATTCTGCAGTGTCTCCTGCAACGCGTCGCCTTTCGGGTGCCGTTTTGGCGGAGGCTTTGACCCCATTCAGCAGAGCGCCATGCCAACGATGTTTCGGCAAGTTGAAGAGGCGGCGTTCTGTACATGCGCAGCAGTATTCATAAAAGAATTTTCTTGCAGCAAATGAATGGACTCGCTTGCATGTTCACGTTGCAGAGTAGTTTTCACCCATGCGCGGTAATGAATGCGGATTGATGTGCGAACGGCTCTGGATATTTTCCAGAGTCGGTGAACGGGCGGTGTGTGTGAAAGGCAGTTGATCCAGGCGGCTGCGCCGGCCCTTATCGCGTGTACCTGAAGTACATGTGGCAGCCTGGGCTGGCCACGTCCAGGTGCTTCGGCGACACCATGGCCAAGATGGTGGGCGTGGTAGCGGAGCCGGAGGTAAAGATGCACTTCTTCGAGGAGGGGGACGAGGTCATCATCGCTGCGTCAGACGGCGTGTGGGAAGTCATGTCGTCCGAGGTGAAGGCACAATCCTGAAATCGGAGCCGCGCTGCGCTGTTCCTGGTCCTGATCGGAATTTGTTGCGCCGAAGCATGGCCCTGAGTTTCCTTCTTCAACCCAAGGGGTTGCTTGCCAGGTGCTGACTCGGCAGCGTTGGGAGAAATTGCTCCCGACACCGAATTCGGTGTTGTTGCACACGTTGGCCGTTGAGATGCCAGTATTTAATTTCAGAGAGCGCTCACTCAGATCGTCAACCATAGGATGTGATAGGCAACTGCAAACTTAAGAAGATCTTCGTTGGGGCATCCACGCAACGTGGCACAGAAATGTGCAAAGTTACTTTGGCGCCAATAAAAAGGGTCTTACGATAATTTGAAATAAAATCGGAGCTCCGCCTTGAAGATGCCGGAGCATCCAACTTGTGCTGCCGTCATGATCGCGATTGTCGTTTGTGCCGCTGCCGCAATAAGGGAATGCTCACTTCCATCGAAGGTCTTGTCTCGCTGAATCATCTGTTTCTGGCAAAAACGGGTACCCCGCAGCTGCATACTCGCCAATACCCTACCCTGTGTTCTGAATATATGGCGCAAAGCACCACTGAAACTTGTTAAATGTATTGGCACATGGTGCGTTCAGCATTGCCACCGCTGAGGTGTGTGCTTAACTGCTCGACCATATCATCACAGCCTGCATTTTGCAAACTCTTCAGAATTTCAAGTACGTCCTGATTGAAGCTTCCTCATCGCTCGCATCCTCCAGGAGGCAGTCTCCGTCGCCATGGACCAAGGCGGGCCCCACAAGGCAGCGAAAGCGCTGGTGTCCATATCCCAACATCGCTGGTTGAGCTCCAGCAGCGCTCGGCTGTGTGACGATGTGACAGCGGTGGTGTGCTTCTTGGACCGCTCCATGATAAGGAGCCTCAAGCGGCACAGTTCTTTGCCTTCCGTTGCCTCGTTCAAGCAACACGCGGTTTGAGGGCATTTCCTGCACTCACCTATGCTCTTGTTTTATTTTGGTTGTAGCAGTTTACTTTGTGGGGCCAGGGCATTTTACAATGTCTCTTTGGTAAGCGCAGCGGCAATCATGGATTTCGAATGCAGTACTTGAGCGATTCCGATTTGATGATGATGAAATCAAATGTAAATGATCTTCATTTCCGTTTCAGCATCACCTGCAGCTGGCAGGCGCAGCTGGATTTCAGGGTAGAAGCTTCCTTCAATTGCAGATACATCAGAATGGGGAGGCAGGATGATAAATATTTGCTAGCAAGGGCAGCTTTTAATATAAGATGCAGTGCTCAGAATAGCTGATACAATTTTCTGTGCAGCGAGGGTTCCCACATTATGTAATTGGTTGGAGATGAGGCTGAACCTGATAGAAAGGGTTTGAAATTCTTCTCCTTGTGGGAAATATTGCATCGAATATGTCCAGGTGTATTTGCAGTGCATTTTCCAGATGCATAGGGCTCTTCGGTCATCATGCAATATCACAGATCCATCAAAACGACAAAAATCGGAAAGAAAAAATGTCTGAGGATTTTTTCTCAACCGTTTTGCTTTGATATGCTCGAAAATTTAGGAAAGTAACCCACAGATACGAGAGCTTTCAGCCTCCTTATTGCAAATTGTGATAATCGCAGTAGGAGCGATTCCTGTTGAACTCACTGCTACCAACCTAACAAGATAGAAAGACTGTGATCAGGTGTTGGCGGCAGGCGCGGAAGCATCCAATCAATATTTTTCCTGTGCCTCAGATCAGAGTGCCCCACACATGCTTTGTACGCAGTTGCGCATATTTTAGCACAATATTCCGCCGCTCAGAATGCGCTCAGACTGTATGCACCGAAATTCAGTGCCGAATCATCATCATCATCATTTGTTACACATAACAAGGCAATGAGGTAGCCTTCAGCTTCCTATTTTGCCCCAGCAAAGCAGAGCTCCTGACCAGTTCCTTGAAATCTGATGGTAAACACAAACAAGAGCTATGAGTCTATTAACTCCTGAAGCCTAAAGCGACTGCCGATGATAATACATCGAGAAGTGTCTCTGTCAGTCGGCAAGCAGCAGCTGGAGCAAAAAGTGTTTTTGCATTGTGACATCGGAAAATACAAGGGTGGCTTCGACGGATGTTATCATAGCCCTGGCAGTGGAAGAGGAAATGGATCTCGTTTCCTGGAGCCAAGCGACATAAAGGACACAATCGCCTTGAAAATGCTGGAATAGATTGCCCCACTTGGTGTTGTTGTTGCTCAACTTCCAGGGAGCGCGCCCCACAACGAAGTCGCAAGGAAAACGTCCTCAAGGATGTAGGTTGTATTGACGACAGGAATCATTCGTATTGGGAGACTGGCTTCATATGTCTATACCATCGCTGAATCTCTGAAGATTGGTTGAAGAAGATACTGGCAATGTGGAAATGTTTGTACATCCACTGGAGGGATTGTATATCAATTGCTGTAGCCTCCGTTGAACTAAGATTAGGGCAGAATCGACGGAAAAAGGCAATGATATGTCCATGCCACGACCGAGGATTGGCTGAGAATTGTTGAAAACCGGACTTGAAAATGGCGCCATGAACCTAAAAGTCGGGAAGCTCCACCATTCGATTCCAGTATCCCATCAATTGTCTCCATAAGTAAAATTCTGAAGGAAGTGCTCTCATTTCACCATAAATAATCCCCAGTGGGGTGTGGCCAGGAAGGCAAGCAACTTGGCATAAGAATTGAGTTTGGACCTTCTCCAACAAGTTCCATTGAGTTTTCGTGAGAAAGGGACCTCAAATAGGAAAGGCGTATCCAACTTGAGCCCAAAACGTAGGTTTTGAATAGATTGTACACAATTTTGGGATCCGTTATGCAAAGAACACGTAACCTTTGAAGAATTAATCTTTGGGCTTGGTTGCCCTCTCCAAAATAGTATCAAGATGTGACTAGAAAATGATTCGATTTCCAGAAGAAATTCCAATGCCTAAATTGGCATGAACTTTCATGATTGAAATTTTCAATTGTCAAAACTATATTTGTCAAGGGCCACAGTGAAGAAAGCCATGATTGGGGATTGCCAAATCACAACCTGTGCCGCAGGGGAAGGTTATAAGAACTACCTCACATCCCAACAACCCTCATTGCCCATTATCAGTATTGCACATCGTGAGGAGCTTCACAGAGTTTTCGAATCATATTGCGCACACCAATGGACCTCAAATATGTTCGAATTCCAATTTTTTCTTAGTTAGAATTTGAGTCAGAATCCGCGGTTGAATTGGCAAAAACACCAAGAGCTTCGTGAACTTGTCAGATCTCTGGGAAAACTCGTGCTGTGAACGGTAAAGCATCCCGTTTTCTAGAATAGTGAGGAAAAACATTAGGTTCGTTGCAAAGCGGCTCTCGAATCTCACGCATACAAACACAATATACATATCCCGTGCCCTTCTGAATGGCTGCGTGTCTCAATATGTCTCTCTTGTACATTGATTTACAAAGGAAGCGCGTTTCTTTCCGCGATTGACTATATACGCATAATCGCAATCACTACTCAAGTGATTGGAAAACATCATCTGGGTCACCTTCCGCCATTCTTCCCACATTCGGGATGACCATGCACATCTGCGAGGAAAAGCACACAATACGTCCATTCATGAAATTCAGGCACCATTGAACTCAAGGCAGTTGTTATGTATATACCAGTACTAATACTTCGTGCAACGCCTCTTGTACCTATTTAAAAAATGGCCTCCTTAGACCCGCAACTTCAGTAAATTTGGCGCGACATCCAATTTTGTGCGCGTTTTGAAATTGAAACCCGACGTGATCTCATCTGTGATGACACTGTGTCGTAGCAAAAACAACCATTACTTTTATGCAACTAATAAAATGGCTGTCGGATCCTGTGAAATGCTGCAGGAATTCTGAATGATCGTTCATCTGAGATGTGTGTAGGACGTGCGCTCGGACGTTAATTTGCTATGCGTCATTTGACTGCAATACAAAGAAATGGTGTTTCAAACGCACAGAATATTTGTTTGGCTCTGGAGATCGTATGGATGCAGCAAATTTAACTATTAGCACAATGAAAACTCTTCATCATGCTCGGCCACAACAGTTAGAAACACAGTGCTAGTCTTCCCTGTTTTCCACTGGGCGGTTCGATGGACACAAGCATGCCTCGGAAGCATCACACTGTGATTGCGTTCATTCCAAACATCTCTAGCTTGATGAATGATCTTGCCCTGTAATGTTGCAACACACGCGTAATCGCTGGAAATTGGGAAGTGCTGATGAGTGTTCTCGCGCCCTGAAATTCGATCAACAACCACAAACAAACAATGCAATGTTCTGCAGCCGACCCTGCCCCAAGAAATTAAACCGATATGAAAATGTACGTTAGCGAGATTAAATTGGCCACCCCTTGTCTCCCCATTCCTAAACAAGTCTGCTCAAACTTTTGACTGCCACGAGCCCTGGACTCTTTAATGCCGCCAGTGAAGCGGCATCGAGGAAGCACAGGACGCATTCATGGCCCATTGCTAAATGTTTAGAAATGGTAACAGCAATTGTTGCCCATTCCGCCGACCCCGCACTTGAGCATAAGACTGCTGCTAGTGCGCCACACCTTGAAGAGCCTGTACAGGCAGTGGATGGAGAGCCCCATGTACATGAACCAGGGCACCGTGAACCACCTGTCCCTGTTGAGCATGACCTCGAAATAGTGAAACCCCTTTGGCTTCGCGCCTTCCGCGGCGCTGAGTCCCTCGCTCCTCTTCTTCAGCTGCATCAAGCACTGCTGAACCTTGGGGTCGTTCAGATCAAGGCCCAGCTCACGAGCCTACGGCGAAGCCATTCTACAATTTTAACTTTGGGAATTAAATGTAGACGTTAACTTTAATTTGAAATTCATGCGAAAACGCTGATTCAAGGAATGCGGATATTCGGGATCCCCAAGGGTTCCGCAACCCTGTGCATGTCCCGTTGATGGGAATTCTTTCCATGTTGCGGAGATTCCATTGTTCAGGAAAGGGTGCGGGCGTTGTTGCTTCGCTTTTGGAGGAGGGAAGTCGTCGATTGCTCGCCGGGAACTGCGCTTGATAATTATCAGTATAACGCCACCGTTGGGCGCAATACCACCAGCTGGGTGAACGCTTCGCTCTTTCGCCGTTTCCAAAGGGTTTCCAGGCTCGTGCAACAAATGGGTCTATTTTCTCCCTCTCTCCTGGCCTATAAAGAGTGTTCAGAAAAATGGCATAAGTGAACAAAGGGATGATTTTTTGGATAGGAATGCGCCTGGTTGCCTGGGAGCAACGCAGGGTCCTCTCACCATTGCTTCTGACATGTTGGGCACAAGATAGCATCGAGTCATTTGGTAATTTCAGACTCAACCATGAATAGGCAAGGCATTAAAGTAAGTACTTATTGGTTACTAGTAATACATAAACATATGACAGTACTGTATTGTGTATTCTGATAATATCCTAAATTTTGGGTAACTGTGAAAGGTATTCGCCTGCTGTGGATCAGCGGTGAGGATGGACAAATGGCATGATTCGCTATTCTCAGATGCCACTCACAAAACAGCTCGGGCATTTGTAGCATTTGAATATCGATTTGAAGTTGCTGAAGCAAGCGAAGCCATTACGGTAATGAATAACAAACAGAGAATTCAATGCATCAATTTTAACACACTTAATCTGTTATTTTATGCTTCCTCCGTCCAAGCATAATTGTCCTCTATGACTATGGGGTACGGCCTCTCCATCGTACTTGCATCAGTTTTCAATAAAATTTCGCCCAAAGTTGTGCTTGTAAGCTTGGAGCATACTGTCAAAATTTCAAGTAAACTCACTAAGTATTGAGAATTTGGCAGTTCTTTGTACCAATGGTCTTCTACCTAGTGAACCTCAGTATTTAGGGTCAAAAATGACCAAAATTTACCTTTCCTCTAATGCTCAAAGGGCTCGTGTCTCATTTATATTCTTGAAAATTGGTAGTTAAGGGTTTTGAAACCTAATTTTTCCGTTTCTGAAACTTGTTTTCAATTTTGAGGCTGTCCTTGTAACGAATTCTGTCTTTTAAATAGAGGAAAATTAATCTTGGACACAGGAAGTACTAGTTACAGTTTTGAAGAAACCATTAAACAAGTAATTAGCAAAATTCTGTTTGCACCGATTTTGTGAAGAAAACGCTTGTAAACATCAATGGCAAAGCACCCTATTGGCGTCCTCTGGTGGACGTCAGATTTAACACAGGCAAGCAGTACTCGGCAAAGATTAGGATTGATCCTCATTCGATCTTTGTTCATCAAATATGCGAGAGCTACTACATTTGAAAAAATTTTGATGCAAAAATCAGAAAATGGATGGGCGCGATGCAATGTGAATGGGGTCCACCACGAAGGAGAACGCCGTGGCGGCTCCCACACACCGCAAGACGAAAGACGCCACTGGTGACATGGGTCGGGTGTTTGTGGGTGCTGCATGGTCGCATATCACACTGCAGACCTTGGCTTTGACTTCCTCGCTCATGGCGCGGTCCATCCCTCCACCCGGCTCTTCATGAAGCTCGGCCTTGACCTCATCCTTTGGGGTCTGGGGTACGTGATCGCCGTAGATGCCTCCTCGAGAAAACATTTGCCCGAAAGTGCGACGATCTTTCCTGAGAAGACCGCAACAGTTTCAATTCGACTTAGAATTCGAGTGTTCGGAAAGGCAATGACTATGTGAACCTGTGGATTGGAGCCGCGGGGGCGGAAAGGAAGGAGTGGCGTTATTGCATCAGAACTTGCGGCATTGTGAGTGTTGGTGATGCTCTTGGCAGAATGGGATGTGCCGTGTGGTTTTTCGTAAAATCCTTCGTTGGCGATCCCTAGCCGATGCATACATGTCGCATTCAGGGCATTGCGCAGCTCAGTGCACTTTCACGTGGAACTCACACTATATTGTGGTATTGAACCTTGGCATGCATCTACGCACATTCAAAGGATTTGCTCGAAATGGCTGGTGCTTCTGAGTCATGTGCCATCACGAGATTGTAATCACATCCTGCTCCACATCCGTGATTCAGATTTTGTGTAATGTGTACTTGAATGTGGTCTCAATAGCGTGGGTTTGAGTGTCATCGAAATAGATTTGATGTTGTTAACGTAGATTAAATCGATATGTTTTTATTGCAAAGCGCCATACATAAAAAGGCAGTTTTCGAGGAATGGAGCACATGCGCCCTCAACAGCAACAAAAAACAAGCCAACATATTCGCCAACATGAATCATCTTCTCAACCAGAGTACAAAAAGGCAATGAGCTTGGAACAAAGTTCAATAACGTGTTAAATGCCATTGCGCAAGCAGTCAAGCAATTCTTAATTTCAACTTCAACAGCCACGTTTGTCCAAGGTTTTGTACCACATATTGCACCAATTCCAGCAACTTGGAGTCTTGGAAAACAGGAAATTGCGGCAAGCGTTTGGAATGTCGTCAATGCAAACGTGGGAGCATCCAACAGCACCTGTTTTGAACTTTCCTCTCCGCTCTGTACTTGCTCAGGGCTGACGCGATTTTCGCATTGCCCGGGTC